ACGTTCAGCACAGCCTGCAGTACAGACAATACGTTAAGCACAGCCTGCAGTACAGACAACACGTTGAGCACAGCCTGCAGTACAGACACTAATTTCTGGTTCTGCTTGTGTTGCTAAACATCAGGTTTCTAAGACCCTGTTGAATGAAATTTTCAAACTTAATGCGAGGGCATTCATCAGCAGCACGTTGCAAATGCATCAGCAAACAGCTGTAAATGCAAAAAAAACTAATACCGCATTGGGATCATCCTGAAGACACACGATAATTTCAGTTAATGAATACCTGATCACTCCTAAGTTCAACTTCACATTCAAAATATAGCGCCCAACAAGCGTCCTCTGAACATAAGTTCACTCCCCGACATTGTCCTCACCATTTGTGTACGCACCTACAGGAACGCTTGCCGCAGGCGATGTTGTCACAACGGAAGACGGTGTTCGCCGTAGATCGCACCGTCACTTTCTCCTCAATAATGGCCGCATAGTTGCAGAACGGACAGCTTTCCAGATCCTTAAGCTCGGCAGCTAATATTTCCGCGGCCTGTCTTCGCTCGAGCAGCTTTTGGAACATCGTCTGTTCAAGCACATTACTGACGGCAGAGTCCGGCATCTTGGCCATGCATGAACTGTTCAGACATGGAAACTCCAGCTTGTCCTCGCCTATGAAGTTCTCAGTGTACCTGTAACAGTAAAGAGCAGATGACTATTTGAAAAAGGTATTAACAAGCTTCAGTATTAATGAAAACTTACAATTTGCGGGAGAGCTGTTCAAATGTTAAGCAATAATGATTTAGATGCTCGTAAAAACAATAAGCAATAAATTACTTCAATAATCGATGCTGAATCCACGGATATGAATAAATAATGTTGCACCGCAAGTGGAACTACTGCACAAGGGTATGCTGATCTAAGGGAGTCTGTACGCGCACTATGGCTTGCTTTACCAAGACCAGCACCTTACAAGCGTATGTATTTGCAAATAAATCTACCTTCCCGGCCGCCATGAGACGACATGCAGGCAAATATTGCATGTCATGCGCAAGAAAAGACTAGTTACAGGTTTTTCAAGCAGAAAAGATTCGCGCACCGGTTCATATATTACTTCGCTTGAATACAAATCTTATTGAAGGAGTCAAGATTGTGCTCTAGAAAAGGAGGCAAGAAGGAAACAAGATGCAGAAGTCTCTCGAGATCTACGAGTGACAACGCAACCAAAAATGGACAAATGAGTAACAAGAAATACGGACATAGCCATAGATGGAAGAGAAGCGGACCATGCACAAACTTCGAGAAAATGAGTCACTGCTCAGCGCCATTCTGGCAGGTTGAGCCGAGGCCTTCCCCTTCCATGGTAGGACTCGGATCAATTCCGAACATTAAACTCTCCACAAAGAGAAGCAAATTTACCGACACACATGTTTGACTGTAATGAATAGAATATCATATTTTTTCAAAACTTTTTAATAACTTGGTTTCTCCACTTGTCTAATAATTGGCACAATTGTTTTAAAAATTTATCCCCTAATGAGAGGTTGGTAAATTCAGGCGACGTGTTTCGTTTACCAAATTTGTTCAATAAACTTGAGCTTTGTCGCCTGGAAACGCTACTATTTAATCCCAACTGCAGTGCTGTTGTGCCACAAGTATAAACATTACATTATACAAAGCCAATCAAGTGTTGCCTGCCATTAAATTTTAACACGAACGTAATACCGTTTAAGGCACTCGGAACAGCAGAAGTGTGGTGCATCATATTGTTCATCACAAGCCAACATTTCGATCACTGGCTTGTCATCAAAGCAGCAGCAGCACTCCAGCGTGTTGACCACTTCTTTCTGATAGAACAACAATTAAACATCGACATTACAATTAAGGAGAAATCAATTCTCAGTTAATGTTAATTTGCAATCAACATAGTTAAAAAACAATAATATGAGCCATGATCGCAGAATTAATAAGGTTCAGATAAATGTAAGGAATCTTAACAAACTAGATCCATCAATCTCAAAGCAAAACCAAGTTCTTCAGACCTTCAAATTTAAATCTGTATTTTCTGGGTAGAAAATTCTGGGTTAACATTGACACAAAAAATAATTTCCATACTCACGTGGGGTGCACTTTCCTCCATATCTATTTGGTGCGCGAGGAGAACATCTTGCTCTGTGGTGCTGCATGAAGGATTTTCATCAAAATCAACCTGATGAGCAAAGAGCGCATCCATTTCAACTTGATCCAGTTGATCTTCGTAAGCTTCTGGCATCTCCTCCCATATGTTCTCATCATCTTCCTGACGGCACTCCACAGTTTCCGCGGCAACTGCCCTAATGGATGCAGTCGAGGACATGGACGTGGCAGACCATCTTGCGTTGGTTTCATCTGCGGTCTCATTGACACTATCAGCTGATGACAACTCATGGATTAGATCTTCTAAAGGTCTTCCCAGCACCACCTCATGACACCTGAGACAAGAATACTTCAGTTAGGTATATTTTCACTGTAAGCAAGAAAATCAAAGCTAAGTAAGAATAGAAATGTAGGTTCACCCATGTCTTTTGTAGAGAAATATTTACACTTGTGTTGCACTTTAAGCCATTACAAAAATTTTTAATAAATGAATATTGGAAAGAGACTCTCCATAGATATTGTCAAGTATTTTCCTTTAAAGATTTTCTCTTACATTCATCGCCACATGACTTTAAAATTTGAAGACATTAAAAAGTAGCAAGGCAAAGATGTCCTGAACGGCTGAGATCTGAGCAGGATTCTTACTTGTATTACAATGCACTACCACAAGTCACCAAAGGACAACAAACAGTTGTTGGACATGTCCTTATTAATAATTGCTGCTGCTGTTAAAATTATATCACTAAAGGCTTTCAGCCATCAGTTCTTCAGCTCCAAACTGATTAAATGTAATTCATATAAACAGGCCATTATAAGAAATTACAAAATTACCCCAGTTTGTATATAATTCTATTAAAATTGAATGTGTTGATTACAACACAGGAAATGATCCTCCAGATTGAAGCATGATTTTCATTGTTCTCCAGCTCTGTAACATGGACATATTTGGGTTCAGCCAACTTACCTCTGAGTCAAGTAAGCTGTATCCAAGTTTGGGAAATGTTCAATAAGCAAGACCAAGTGAGCTGCCAACAACTGGTCATTATGAGTAATTTTAGACACCACTTCACGACTAGTGGATGCACGAGTAGCATTATTCCCTTCTGAGACATCCTTGCTTCTTTTTGAGTCTACCTCAGGAGCCTCAGACCATACCGGTATGAGCCGACTTCTCTTGCGAGGTGAACGAGTTTTGGGTTCCAAATTTATCCGTTGTTTAGGCCTGGCGCCTTGAATGTGAAAATTTGTTTCTTGCTTGGTCACTGAGGTAGAAGCCTCTGTGTTATAATTAGGTGCAGTTGCAGAAGCATTAGTGTCTTCATAAATGCCATCATCATGAGGAATAATACCACTTAAATCCACAGTTACTATTCCTTCACTTGACGCTGACTCTGCAGCAAGTTCACTTTCAAAATTTTCTCCTGTAGAGGAATTAGTAAGATTTCTTTGTTCATGATCATGTGCAGAAGAAGTTTCCCTTTTGGGACCTAGGTTCCTACGTTTAGGACTTGAGTTGGAATCTGAGGGTAGCTCGCTGATACAAAGTGAGTCGCACAAGAGCGAGTCTTCACCTTCCCCTGAGCTCATTTTGTCTTCATCATCAATGCTCACTGAGGTACCACAGCCAGAATCCTCAACATCATCCTCCAAACGTTCTTCTGGTGAAGCTCTACCAACTAAATTACTTGCTATTTGAATATTTGAATGACTATTATTCTCACCAGAAGAATTAATTTGTTTATCAGAATTGTGAACAGCTTCTGACGATTTGAGATGAAATTCTGTGGAAGAACCACCAGTTGGGTCAACAATAGATACTGATTGATTTTTGTTGTAGCCCGAGACTAGGCCTTGTTCAATTTCTGCTGACGTGCATTCCATACCATCATCGGCCGCCATACCATCAACTTCAGGTGTGCATTTGTCTAGGGAGAAGTTGTTCTTCAGAGCAGCTTGATGCTTGTGTTCTAGTTCTTCCGTGGCTTCTTTGTGAGTAGCCATGTCTGATATGACAAAGTTTAGAACTAATGGTGCATCATCACTCATGCTGCTGGAAATATTGTCTTTTTCACCTGAATTATTTATCACATTTGAATTGAAGAGTTGATCAGCGTGGGATGCCTGGTCTTGAGTATCACAGTTATTCTGAAATTCTTTAATAGGATCCTCATGATTCTCAACAGTCTCATTAAATAGTCCTTGAAGACAATGATCTTGAACATCATGGTGCAGGCTGGGTTGCACCATGGGTTCATCTCTTTGCAGCTCATTAGGATTATCTTGAGTTACTTCTTCAGCAACACCAAAGTGAATAGTTTTTAAAATATTAGCCTCATCCATTTCAGCAAAGTTACAACCATCCTCTTTCTGTGCAAGCACATATACGATGAGCTCAGATGTGAGAACTTCAATGATTTGGTCATCTCGTTGGCCTTCTTCAATCATTTCTGACACTCGCCAGTACAGCCGCTCCTGGTCTAGCAAATCATAGCAGTTTGGCCCGCACATGTGGCACACCCCATTGGTTATGAGGGACACAACTTCAAACACGTCGGCCATACTGCAATTGAGACGTGACACCTGCAAAAATTATTTTGATTATTTACTGGAAACCACAAATCATTAAGAGACAGTGTCTAAGAAAAATTAAACCTAAAATAATAATAAACTTTCAGAAGTGCTGCACTTCTGAAGCATATTATGTTCAATAATATATGCAATATCTTTAATAATTATCCTATCCAAAGACCCCAAAAAACAAAGGGAATGGCACATTTTTGCATGCAATTTTTAAAATCACTGTAAAAAAGTTATACCCAAAAATTTGGAAAAATTTAGCCAAATAGGATTGAAATTGCATAATATTCAGATTTAGCATGGACCATAGTTATAGTCCTTGACACTAGATTGGAATTTCCATACTTATGAATGAGGTCCTGTAGCTTCTAAGGGGCCATTTTTTTATACATTTGAAATCTTGCAGCCCAATTGATTGTGCAGTTTGATTAAGAATTTGGGAATACTTAATTTAGAGGGAGCTGGGACGGGAATCTCATGGATGCAAATGGCAGGCAAGTGCTGCTCTAGTTGCAGTTTGAATGGTAGATACATTCCATGCCTGGCAGGCTGGCACACCTGGTCCCTTAATTCCTGTCCCACTCAACATAATATTTTTAAATGGCAATTGGCAATTATAGACAAGGGTGAGTACCCGTGAGTTTCAATTTCAAATCTCATGCAAATATTGTCAGGATTTCCAAATATGCCTGGCATATAATATGGGCAAAACTTGAAATTAATTTACTTCTTTTTATCCATTTGAATTTGATTTTTTAAAACTAAAATGTTTTCTTAACTAAAATTTATTTTTGATTCATTTATAATTTGGAATTTATTACCAAATTTAAGAACCTAAACCTAATCAACAATCAATTCAAAATTGGAGCTGAACTACTGAAGTTTGAAAAATCATGATTTGTTACATGATTGATGATTACCAATTAAGCATTTTAAAGCCAGAAGTGCCTAAAACAAATAAGCCAGGTTTCATACATCAAATATGATGATAATTCATTTTCTCAATTCTCATATTAAGCTCTTAATAAGTACCCTAATGTTAATGTTGAGCCAGGTTTCAAACATCAATTAAAATAATAAATTAATTTTCAAATTGATATTTTATCTCTTAATAACTAAATAAGTAATCAATGGCATCAGACATGGCTGTCATGTCCCTATTATTATGGCCCCATGGCAGCATGGCCATGAGGCAATGAGGGCAAGAAGCCATTAGCCAGGGATGATCCCGGATGGACACTACCGTAAATAATGTGATTAGACAATCTAGACCTGATATGGATACAAATTTTGTAGAATTATTACATCTGATTTGGGCAAATAAATAAGTAAAAAAATAACCCTATATCAGGCTAAATGAAACAAGAGCAATGATACAGTTGGTTGGCAGTCAAATTCAGTCATTGCAAAAATGCAAAGGCACTGCAGTGCCAGTGAGTGCAATCTGCAGAAATCATTTTATCAGTGACAATGGCAATGGGAGATTATAGTTTGACAGTGAGTAGCCTAGGGGCTAAACGTGTGATTCTATGAAAAGCCTGCACCTCTAGATTTCATCAATTCATGACTACCAGACTCCACAGCTCCACTTCATACAAATGGCATTTTATCAATGATTTGACATTTGAAACTGAAATGGTTTTAGAATACATTCTGAAAATTCAAATCTACGAAAACGGCTTATCTTCGAAGCCGAAGTTCAAAGCCAGGCTGCCAGCACAGGCTACAACTGACAGCACAACTGATAAGAAAATCATGCAAAAAGATAAAGTCAAAGTGGAGCCTTAGAAACCGCTTTACCTACCTTCTTTATAACGATCCTCTCATTGATAATTGGAATTTCTACAAAATTTGAGGGTCCGAAATTCGTATACCAGATACTCCAGAGTTCAACCTGGATTATTAAGTCCAGCTGTTCGAGCAAGATGAAAATATTTCAATTTCTCTACTGTCTCTGCCTACGACAGTTGTTCAACTGAACGACTACCAAACTCGGAGCAAACGCCACCTGAGCTCAAGAATTTTACCCTGCATGCTTTTACGTAAAATTTCTTACGGGCGCCTGTCATATCTATATCATTTGCATAACTTTAATAAATTTCAAAATTAATTTAAATTTGAAATACTCAAATGGCAACATTTTTTTATTTGTAAAACGGTAACAGGTGAAGATCCAAAGCAGTGTCATGTGTGTGCTTGAAATCGCGCCAACATCTAACTACCCTAAACGGAACGAAACGAGTTTCGAACGTGTACAGCAAACGAAACTTCTTATATGTTTAACGTGTAACAAAATGAAATAAAATATTTCCTAAATGCCAAAGTGAAAATGAATTAGGAAAATGGATTATCTCGAAACTTGATTTGGAGGACAATAATCTCATATCTTTACAATTAAAAAGTTGCAAGCATGGCAAAGGAAACTAAAGGTCAAAGTTCAACGTACATCGATTGTAGCATCGAGTTGCTGGGTAAATAAAAAATATGAAGCACTCCGGTACAAGCGCATGGAAAAGGTTTTGTACAATATCGGGATGATAGCCGTACTGTTAAAACACAAAGTGTCCATATTTGAGCAGAATCAGCACGGATGGCAGTGAAGTCGTATACTCTCATTAGTCTCATAAAATTCCCAAGTCGCATATATTCCATAATAATTGTTACATGTAATAAGCATGCTATGTAAAAAAGCATGCGTCGAAATACCAGATTTAGCTCAGTGTAGACACCACTATTATTTTGACTTTCCCTCGTAATTTTTTGGGACTACAAAACACACTAAACAACTCCGCTCGTAATCACATTACGACGCAGCCAATAATTTTAATCTATGGATTGGAGGTACTATGTCTTAGAGGGACAACTTGGACGGGAGGCAAGCATTAGTGTAAGCCACTGCTAAGACAGTTGCCAGTGCTTAGCCTGAGCTTGGTAAAATTGTTAGACAAGAGATTAACTAATTTGAATAAAAACTCAAGCCAATGTAATTATATACATCAACATTACTATACATTGCGTAGTGGTACGTCTCATTAAAAAATTAAAGCTTCTCTCGCATTCAAATGGATAACATAGCTTAGCATAGTATCTTCGGTGTTGAAGAAATGGGCCTGTGGCCGATTTTTGTACTTTTCGTGACTTTTCACAGATTTAAAAACTGGCCTTTTCACAAGGTTTAAGACGTTGGTTTACATCATCGTTGGTTTAAATCATCACTGGACTTGAACTAGTTCCATAGGCTGCCAGGCATTTCAAGACTCAACATATCAGGAAATATTAAAGATTATGAAGCTTCTATGTCTACTATCCCAGTGGTTACAGTTCAGTGGATCACGATTGGAGCAGATTGGCGCGGGTTCGATCCCAGCTCTGTGCACCAGTTTCTGGTCAGAATGGGCAAGGAGGCAAGCAAAGCAAAATTGGAGCTGTGAGTTGCAAGTTAGCGATCGCAGCTGTAAATGTTCTGCAATAATACGACATAATAAACGTCGGAACCACAATAGATACTTTTGCATAGCATTGTCTAGTTTATTCATGAGCGCGTTCATACTAGGAGCGTCAGCAATGTCAGTTGGGAGGCTGATCCACATGTCGGCGCCTCGAAGCGAGAAGAAATGTTGTCGCATGGATGAATTACAGCGGTGCAGAAAATTACAGCTTGTTGTCGACATAAACTCCCAAATATTTGTCCACGGTATACTTTTCAATCATTACAATCTCGTTGCAACCATGTCTTTCCACACTGTAATCTTGCTGCAGAGGGCGGGTGATCACACTTCTTCAAATGAGGTAGGGTCATCGGACAGTCATTGTAAACAATTGATTCAAGATAGCCTCATAAAAATTCACACGGAGCCAAATGCACAGATGGGGCGACCAAAGAAGGTCAGCTTTCAAGGAGGTGCTTTGCAAAATGTTGTCTCAGGTCAACGTAACGGCTATTAGAAAAACAAACCTAGACAGCAAACGCACGCTGCTCGCTTGTCCAATACATAGTGGCAACTGACTAGGCGGCACGCATAACTTTATGACCTTGCCTTTCATATTTAATACTCCTTAATATTCTGCGTCCTTTTCCTACAACATCTGGCTGCTTAGCACGAAATACAAAACCGGAAGTTTCTGTGAACCATCCCGTAAAAGAGGTACTTAAGGGCAACTAGATCTAGTTCAGTACCACCCATTCAGACCCGACTTCAAATAACGAAGCATACTTGTTCTATGCATTGTTGCACTTATGGCGACGTCGTCATCATTCCTTATCCTCATATGCATTTCATGTCGACAAAAAACGGGAACTCCCATAGCTCGTTTGACCAAGTTCGACAACTGACTTAACTTTATAGCCACCATGTAAAGTGAAGGTTTTGAAATGATTAAAATTTTTTTAATGATATGAGTGGCAGCATTACATGTGATGGCTACAACTCAAGAAAGTGAACTTGAAATTACTCTTAAAATAATTTCAATGTCCCGATAAATACAGTGGTTTGTAAACTGAGCAGTCTGTGGTTACTGGTTATATTCCGTCACTAGAAGCTGTATTCAAAGCGAAAATGACGTACAACTTACTTACATCCGCCCCCTGACATTTGTTTCCTTTTACACATTAAATAAATGATACCTGCATTGCGCGTCCTAAAAATAACTAAAAACCATGTAAAATTGTTTTTAGTAAGTTAATTGTTTTTAGTTGAAGTTAAAGAAGAGAAATGCGTTCGAGTTGTTGTTGCGTTCGAGTTGTTGTTCGTTCGAGTTGTTGTATTGCACTCCTAAACGAGCTTGGAGTGTCACTTCTCACTTAGCTTGTGTTATTCCAACGCATTTCCTGCCAAGCTACAACTTATGCGATGTGATGTGCAGCTTCTAGGCAAACCAAAGCCGTTCGCCTGCGGAACTGGAAAATTGTATACTCTACAACTTCTCGTGATTGAATGATTGGTATTTGTTTCTTAAATATTATACATAGACATATTGGCTTTCGCTTTCAAGTTCAAGACTTTCGCATTGGAATTAGTTGATAATATTAACTAGGATAAATACGACTTTTTTTTTTAATACGATAAAACTGGATTTATAGTCTCTTAAATAACAGGAAAAATTGTTTTGCACTTGCACATTGGTGTTTGACCACCAATAGGACCTTGTTGCCGATATATTTGTAATCTCTTCATAGGGGCGGCCATAAGATATGTGGAACGGAAAAAACGTCGAAGAGAGGATAATTACTTGAAAAGTAACGAATAAATGTAATGAGAATAATAGTCAAGTAGAAAATAGATATTAATGGAATGAAACGTTGCTCGAAATAGCGAGTTATGATATGATTTGCAAAAAGGAAAAGCGCGAGGAGTTTAGACCAACTCCTAAGCTGGGTACACATTTATATAAAATACTTAAAAACACTTTTTAAAAAAACCACGTTTTTCTTGTGGACTAAAAAGTAGAAAATAAGTTATGGTTCGCCCCAAAAAAACGTGTGTAGGGCAGATTTTTAAATTTTGGAAATTTGATGGTGAACGTACAGCCCGACCCACATTTTTTGGGGGCGAACCATAATTTATTTTCTACTTTTTAGTCCACAAGAAAAACGTGTTTTTTTAAAAGTGTTTTTAAGTATTTTATTTTCTACTTTTTAGTCCACAAGAAAAACGATTAAAACTTGATTAAGTATGACTTGACGTACGTATCGATGATACGCAGCGTCAGCGCCTGCTCGTCTATAACGTGAGCGCCCGCACGTCATACTATATATATATACTATATATGTACTTTACTCAATTAAACCAATTTAGGTCTGTAATTACTAGTTTTTATGATTGTATCTGAAATTGTTAGGCGAAAATAGCCTGCATGCCGAATTTTAGATCTCTAGAACAATCAGAAGTGGGCTAATTTTCGTTGTCAATGTTAACAACAAACAAACAAACAAACAAGCAAACAAACAAACAAACAAACGCGAAGCTAAGCTAAGAAAAACGTGTTAAAAAGTAAATTTAAACAAGTTGAGCACACAATCAAATCGACTATGCTAAGTTGAAGTGTTCTTATTAATACTCGTTGTTAAACTACACTTCACCATTTTTAGACAAACATGCATGGCACCGGCGGAAAAATATTTCATTTATGCAGTCTTTTTTTCTTCATCTAACAAATGGATATTCATATTTATTAGAAGTAGATGCAGCTTTATTGATCAGCGTTCGAAGAATTCGCCGTTGGTTCTTAACCCTCTACCGCCGTATGTCACTCTTCGGGAACATAACTTTCAACTTAGATTATACGTGCACTATTGAGTGTAGCAACCTGAGGACGTTTGTACGCAACAGAGAACATTTTAAAGTAACTTTCAACTTAAATTATACGTAAACTATTGAGTGTAGCAACCTGAGGACGTTTGTACGCAACAGAGAACATTTTAAAGTTGTACGTGGGGGCAACCATCAGTGCAAGTCATTTTGCGCTTACTTGAACGTATACTTTTTGGGAAGTAGGCGCGTGACAATATTGCTCCGGTTACTCATGTCAGGCTGTAGAGGGTTAATGCGACGTGTTCTTCAATGCGGTGCGCTACCTGAGATGCATGAAAGTATGTTTTTACTGAGAGCAATCGCGTAACATTTGCAATTTAACTGGGTCCTAACTAACTGATAATTGATTGTTGTTTAAGTGTGATCCTAATAAACTTATCAGCGATTGTTATTTAAATGTGATCCTAACAAATTTATCAGCGATTGTCATTTAAATGTGGTCCTAAATAACTGATCAGCGATTCTTATTTAAATGTGATTCTAACTGATCAGCGATTGTAATTTAAATGTGATCCTAACTAACAGATCATCGATTGTTTTTATTAATGTTGTCCCTATTACGCGAGTAGAAAGTTCATGAGGGCCGAAGGTTCTTCCATGACAAATTGTCGTGATATAGTCCTGATTTCTATATGACTAAAGTTCGTAATAAGATGACTATCTG